CCCCCCCCTGCTCCCGCCCCTTGTTGGCGGGGCGTTGCATGGTTAGCATGTTACCCAATATGTCCGGTCTCTGTCGGAGCGTACGTGGTAATAGAGGGAGAGGGCTGCGAAGAGAAACCGAAATTGAAAGAACAGAGAGAAACAAATGAAACGAAACAGCCCTTCATCCATTTTCCTTTCGGTGCCCAGGTTCACCGTGGACGCCACCATGGCGCCCGTGAGCCGGCTGCTGGTGTACTACGTGACGGCCGGTGGCGAACCCGTCAGCGATGTGACGACCTTCGACGTCCGACTCCTGGACAAGCGGGTACGTGAGGTGGAGGTAGCGCCGCTATCCGTGGAAGTGTTCTGAACGTCTCAGCAAGTGTATCGCAATGCTTTTTGTTTTGTTTTTTCGATTCAGATGTCCATCAGCTTCGAGCAGAAATCATCCTGGTCGCCGGGTGAAGCTATGGACGTGGAGGTCCTTGCCGAGGAGAACGCCCTCATCTGCCTGGTGGGCGGTAGAGTGCCGAACAAGAGCCCGTAAGTGGCCCTGATGCCCAGAGCATTGTTTTGTAACACGAACCCGACTCTCCTTGCTGACTCGGATCTGTCCAGCAGTGCGGTGGTGACCGCGAGCAGGCCCAGCAGCCGGGCCGTGGACTTCCTGGACGCGGGGCTGAGCCTGTACGAGCGGCAGTGCGTGACGCAGGGTCGGGGCGGCGCCGAGCTGCGCTTCCACCAGGCGCGCTCGCAGCCCCAGGGCCAGGACGCGCTCAGCGGGCTGCGGCGGCTGCAGCTGGACCAGCTGTGGCTATGGCGCTGCCTCAACTACAGGTCAGGGAGCGTTTCTCTCAGGAAGATAACAAGCAATATACGTGAGTCTGAAGTGATCGCTTTGCAGCAGCCGCGTGGCCTCTGAGGGCGTGACGCTGACCGTGCCGGAGGGCGCGGGCCAGTGGACGCTGTGGGGGCTGTCGCTGTCCCCCACCGCCGGCCTGCGCTTCAGCGACGCCACCACCTTCACCGTGTTCCGCCCGCTCGGCGTGGACTTCCGCCTGCCGCGCTCCCTGCGCGTCGGCGAGGTGCTCGAGGTCGGCGTCAAGATCGCCAACAACCTCAACTCGTGCGTCGATGTGAGTGTTTTGTCTCCAGTGCATGTTGTGTCGGTCCCCCGACGGTCCTCTGACGGTCCCCTGACGATGCTGCTGCCCCCCGCAGGTCTCTGCGCTGCTGTCTCTGAGGGACGGCGCGCACTTCCAGAGCAGCGGCCTGGGCTTCGTGTCCGAGCGCCTCCGCCTCGGGCCCCACGGAGCCACGTCGCTGGTCGTCCGCGTGCAGGCCACGGCACAGTCCAGCAACAACCTGACGGGTAAACATCGTGCCCAGCACGTTTTTAGGCAGTCGTTTACCGGCTGACTTTTACATTTGGTCAGGAAGCAAGCCAGCCTGATCCAGTTAAAGTACAAGCCAGCCAGCGCCCAGCCCCAGCCCAGCTAGTATGCCAGCGCCCAGCCCCAGCCCAGCTAGTATATATGGGCGTGTGTGGGGTTTGGTTTTCATTCAAGATTCAAGATTCAAAGCGCGCGGAGCGCGCATTTATTCATTCTAAATAGGTGGAGTACAGGTGTACAGGAGTATTTGTGAGAGGTGGTTATAAATTATACAATATCGGCGCCGTCCACTCTTGCGAAGTCTTAACAGCTAGGAGAATATATTACAGTTTTTAAAAGCATAGTT